CTATCAACTGAAATTATTATCTTTAGACAGATAAAAATAAATGAATATTCGCCTGAGAACATGTGAAAATTATACCCAAATACAATGTAACGAAGGATTTTCGGTTTAATCCGAGTACACAATAACAATGTTGTGTACATGTACATGCAGAATACCTCTTTTTTATCCTTCGCCCATGTGTTCCTCCTTAACGGAAAAAATTATCAGTAAATTATATTATACCGAACGAGGTTGAAAAATGACGAACTTTATTTCTTAAAATTAACAGCAATTATCAGACTTTTCTCATATCACTGTAAAAATGCCCTAAAAACTAAAACCGTCTGGTTTGACTTTGTCAACGCGTTTTAGATCGGGTTCGAGATTTTTATTAAATATCTGGAGTATTTCGCTTATTCTGCAAGTCTTTATAAGAAGATTAGCTTTTTTAAAAAAAAGCTGAGAGTCAGCCACTGGAATACAGACAGTTTCTTTCTTGGTTTGTGATGGTATATGATTTGTTTTATCCATCATGTTGTGTTCACTAAAAGTCATTGTCGTCTAAGTTAAAATTCGCCCAGTCGTTTTCTTATCTGTAACATAATTCTGTACATAATAAATAATAAAGCATAGAATAAATTTTAGTTAAACTACATCGTGATCATTATGATGACCTCCAATTAATTTCTCGTGGGCGCGGACATCAGATAAAGTTCGTTTCAGAAATGAACAAAGCCACTATGATCCCAATCATTGAACGTGTAAGAATGTTTACATTTTCATTTTTACTGTTAAATTCTATAAATAATATAGATTATGATGCTGAAAAGGAAGGTAGACCTTGGGTTAGATTGTGTTAATTATTATTAGATAAAAGTTTTTTAATCGTGCAGGTTCGAGACAATGCATGATAGGGGAAGGGGGAGGGTGCATACTGTATGTATATTTAATTCAATTTCTAAAATTAAGCATCCATTTTAGTGTTATTAGGAAAGAAAACAATTGCTTCCAAAATAAAGTAATAAACTGGAGATTCAAAATATTTTATACACACAGTACGTATACCCTAAAATGATACTGGATTCCATCTCGCTCACTCTCTCTAATTGGGGGGGGGGCTGTCTATAAATCCGCGCAGTTTCTCTCAACTATCGCAGTTCTACTGTGATCAGTTTCTCACCTGTGGGCGCGTTCACGTGCACAAGCGGCACTTACATGTACATGTCTATCATCGTGTAAATTATAAGAATTTACACATCTTAAGTGATATTCTGACGTTTTCATAACTTTCATCATTAAAGTAAAGAGATTCTTTTTTTTTTCACTGTCTTGGGACCTTTGTGCAAGTGGATTATTGTGTGAATTCCGACCCGTACCTGTCTTATGCCAGGTATTGATCGAGGGAGTCTGGCATCAGGCATTCAGAGGAATACACACAAATCCTTGAACTTGCAACGGCGATTGAGGGTATAAATCAAGTGTTAAATGTGCTCTGCATATAAACTTCTCATCTTCTATAAGAAGCACTGAAATATTTTCATAGTATCATATTTCCCACTTAGAACAATCTCTTCTTTAATTTTTCGTCGAGAACGACGAAGAACAATGCAGTCTATAAATAGATCGAGGTCGCGTCTTTGTTTAGAGGTGTTTGTGAAGAATCACGCCCTTTGGTCAGCTCTGTTGGTTGGAGCAAATAGCACGAGTTTCTTTAGAACAAGTCGTGTACATCTTTTCCCCAGAATTCCAAATTATGCAAGCGTACTTGCAGTTTTATCCCACCGTAACTAGTCAACCCGCGGGCTGACTAATGAAAAAAAAAACCACTGGCAGATTTAGAGGAGGTTCAGGGGGCCTGCAAGCCCCCTTTTTGTATCCAAAATATACACAAGATTTAATAAATCAATTTTTATGTGGCTTTGGGCCCCTACCCCGACCCAAAACTGGTCGGCCCCCTTTTCTAGATTCCTTTATCCGCCACTGAAAAAAAGAATGTGTTGTTCTCTTGGATGTCGATATCTGAATTATATTTTAAACATCCTGTCTAATATATCATGGGCGCCCATAATAGGACGATTATTTGTTTTTTAAAATAAAGTGGTTCTTACAAATGTAAAAATAAAAAAAACTTACAAACGGCTAAGTAATTATTTAATTCATCTAGAACAAAAGTTAGTTTAGTTATTTGCTTATATAATCTAACTTTTATAAATTAACACGAAAGTCGTGCGATCGTATACAAATACTCAGAAGCAATCTTCATATTTAACGAACGTATAGCGTATAGGTGAATAAATTGCCTCTCATTGCTATACGTATACCCCCATCCCCGAAATAAATAGAATGTTTTCCTTCGCAGCCGGTTATGTAAGTACAAGCGAGGATGGAGCTTTACAGAAGCAGGTGATGAATTCCGAGAGAAAGGCACTGCCTATTTTATATACATGTACATTCCTAGGGACCTGGTTTTCTGAACCGATGTCACTGTTATTCAAAGACCTAGCTAGAAATTCTCTCTCTCTCTTTGAAATGCAGGCCCGTCGATCGTAAAAAAATGACAAAATAATTTCAATTTTTATTATTTACATTTGCAAATATTTTTCTTAGGTGAACCTATTGAAGAGAAAATATGTTCAATTCTGTACAAACTTATTAGGGGGTCAGAGGTCATGGCGTGACCGTATCACACAGCGAGATGATATCTTGTCTACATATTTCTGTCCCGGTGACACTGGTTTCGGAATTTCTAAGCCGTTAAAGCGATGAAAAAGATAAAATTATTGAAACATATATGTTTTTTTTCGTTCAACAAATGATCATTAGTTCTTTCTTCGGTGTGAAGAATGTTTTTAATTAGCCTAAAATCACGTTTACCTTTTAAGTTCGTTGACTTTTAAAGCTTCATACCTAAGACTTTTCATACCATTCCAGATCCGCGTTATCGAGGAAGGGTCTGCGTTTTCTAGGGGGGGTGGTGGTTACTTTTACTTGCTTTAGTATATACATTTAACTGCCCCAAACCCCCTCTAGATCCGCGCATGGGGTCATTTGAAAATAGTATTCTCAAGAACCCCTGGACTAGAATGAGAAAATTTCCAACATAGCATACATTCATTTTATTTTTCAAATCTTGATTCAAGGGAGAAGGTTTGGGCCGGAAAGAGTGTTCATAATTTAACATAGGAATTTATATATCCCCCCAAACGAAGTGTGTTGGTTTGGGGTGGGGGTGTTTTGAGTCTTGGAATCACACTGTCCGTCTGCCTAGCTGTCCGTCTGTACGTGATAGTTTGCCCAGGATATAACTTTGTTATGAAGAAACTGGAAGGTTATACTTGGTACAAAGATTACTAATGATCCGAGGGTGTGTCATGGTTTTGATCCAACATCATTCCGGCAAGTTCAAGGTCACTTAAAAAAAAATAGCAAAGTTTTGTCCGACTCATTTATCTGTAATAGAGAGTCACCGGAAGCTCACTGGATACAGGAATTGCTTATGACAAAAAGGGTTTGCCACAACCTTCATTCAAGGTCATTCCTGTAAGTTCAAGGTCACTGACAGAAAAGTGTAAGATTACTGTATGTGCTATAATTTTGGAAGCTCATACTAGGAACAAAGATTGCTTATGATCCACCGGTTTGAGATAACATAGTACTAGATTGGCAGAAGAAGTGGCAAAACTCGTGCCTGGATTATAAATTTATAAGGGGTGGGAGGAACACAGGAAACTTTTTCTCAGATTGCTTGAGATGGGTTTGTCCTGACCTTGAATAGAGGTTTTTCCCGCAAGTTCAAGGTCACTGGCAGATAAATATTAATTTTTTTTCCATGCTATAACTTTGTAATATAAAATCACTGGAAGATATTACTTGATACAGAGATTGCTTATGATCCAAAGATGTGTTTTGACCTTGATCCAAGGTCTTTCTGGTAAGTTCAAGGTCACTGACAGAAAAGTGCAATATTCTTTTTCAGGAATATCTTGGTCATTGAGTATCACTGGAAGCTCATAATTAGTTCAAAGGTTGTTTTTGACCTTAAAATAGGTCATTTAGGCAAATTCAAGGTCACTGATACAATAAATGTAAAATTCAAAAAGGTCTAGTCGCCCACGTGGCGCAGTGGTAAGAGTGTCTCCTCTAGAGTCGTGGATTAAGGAGTTGATCCTTATGTCGCAGGTTCGAATCCCACTATGGGACGCAGAGACCGATCCTTCAGATGAGACTGTATAAACTGAAGTCCCGTCTGGCAGTTGGTGCTGGCACGAAAAAGATCCTTCACTGTTCAATGGCCATGAGTGCCGAGTATAGGTCAAAATTTGCAGATCTCCATCGGCAAATATGGTGGCGTCTCCACATGATTGAAAAATTCTCGAGAGGGACGTTAAACAACATACACACAAACAAACAAACAAAAAGGTCTTTAATTTTGTAATAGAAAAAATTGAATGCATTTGCATTTCACTGAAAAGATGATAAATATATCATCCAAAGTGTGTAATGGCCTTGACTTAAATTCGATGTCACTTAGAATATGATGTTTTGGATGAATAGTCTGAAAGAATACGTGACTGTGAATTTTTTTTTTTGTCGATGACATACAGATGGTGTTTGCTCTTAACCAGCTGCAGAATGTGTCCTGGCTTGACGCACGATTATTTGGACAAGTTCAAGTTCACTGCAGGGGAATTTTACATTCTTTTACTGTCTTTCTACGGTTGAAACATTGGAAGTTGATGCCCCTTACAGGATTGTTTATAACCTTAAAATGTTGTATGACCTTGACTCAAGGTCGCTATGTTTTGTCCGGAGCTCCGACGGAAGACCTATTCGTTGCATTGCAACGAGCTCGGCTCTAGTTTCTATCCATAATTGATCACATACGACTAAATTGAATAATTGTAGGCACGCGTCACTTGGGGATTTTGATACGAATCGCGGGAACATAGGGCGTTCACACGAGAAGTTTACTTCGAATTGAAAAAAAAAGTGACTCAGGAGTAAATTTAGTGGTAGTCTCGACTGAAGGACCCTTAAAAGAATCTGTTTATAAACACCCACTGCTTTACTGACGGGACCCTTAACTGTTCAATCTACAGTGTATAACTCTGAATTCAAATTACAAAATTTTTATGGGAGTGTCTCGTGAACTCCGTGTAAACAAAGTGAGATATACCCTCGATATCGGTATAATATCAATATTCTGAGGATAATACGAAGTAATAAACCTTATCTTAACACACAAACAGCTCAGATCAACACCACCCTAACTCTGTTACATGTGATTTATACATACCTCACTAATGAAAGCGGGCCATTAAGAAAGGTAGGTCATTTACATTTATTCCGGGACTCTCTTTTGAAAGTACTTTATGTACCTTCTTAAAGATATACTTCTTAGTAATTTTAGAGAATCCGGTTTCAAGATGATGGAAATTAATCAAATATATCGCTATCATCATGGTTATACCTGTATTTTAAGAAGGAAGTCTACGTTATAACCTAATGTGACAGTTACTCATCGCCCGTCAGTCTGTCCTCAACCCCCGAGATGTGAAATTTGTTATTTTTTTTTCAAACGACATCTTGTTATTAGATAAATAGTTCTAGCTTGAATGTTCGTTTTGTAGAAGTATGGTGGGAATGGACAGATCTTCGCATATTTGGACTTCTGGATTTTTACTTTTATTTGTGATAAAATGTTCAAATTGTCAAGATTTTGTGACAAATGCACCAAAACTGAGTGATGGGACAACGCAGACCAGTGTTGTAAACGAAGCGGAAAATTCATCTTCAATAGGTAAGGCCGTAAACTAGACAGTGTCAAGTTAAAGTGCACTGAAAATTTTATTGTTATAAACCTTAAAAGTTAAGTGAACTTTCTTGCTTAAATGACGCCAATGTTGACAACACCATGCATTACAATGAAGAAATAAACGAATACATAATTCAATTCTGAAATGATTCTACATTTAAAAAAAATCCTTAAAAAATGGTTCTATGACCGGTGTTTACAATATAACTATACACTCTAAACTCAACATGGTACACATATTGATTATTTTTATGGAAGCCAGTTGAATAAACACAACAGGTGTCAAAAATGTACATTTGTATTGATGTGCATTAACTCTGTCTATATATGTATAAGGGAACTCCATTTTAACGCTAACTCCTGCTCGTATATTTCTACATTATTTATCAGTAACATCCACTACTTTACATTTCATTTATTGAATTTTTCTGCGTGGAAACTATTCTAAAAATGAAACTTTCCAACAAGAAAAGTACAGAAGTCATCAATTTTTAAACACAACGTGACACATTCCAAATTCTTTAGATTTAATCAAGCAATTTTGAGTTTATCAATCGTGAAATAAAGATCACACACATTGCTTCAATCATCTTGTTATTTCTGTACAGACATTCTCTACAACAATAATGATTACAAACCTGTATGGAAAAACAAGTTGAGCAATGTTTAATTCGTTTTATACATAACAAAGGCATGTGTAATCACATAAAAGCATCATTTTATATTAACTCACTCAAAGCCAAATACTTCTTTAGAAGAGGGCTCCTTGATTTCTCCTAAAATTTGCACTCGAGACAGAAAGGTATCCAGGTTCAGTTTGAGAGGATTTAAGATCTAAATTTTTGATAAGATTCACCTTTAAACTCTTGGAAAGGGGACCGACATTAAAAAAAAAAGATTATAAAGTTGACAGTGTTCTTGTCGGTATGGCTCTACAAATGAAGGACACGTTTTACTTGATATACGAGGTGTTCTTGTCGGTATGGCTCTACAAATGAGGGATTGGTTTTACTGTTAAACATCACTTTTACCCAAATTCCTTCAACTAGATTGGTGACATATTAAAAAAAATCATCTTTTCATATTTTTGGTCAATATCAGCATGACATCCATTTTTAGTCTTGAACTTGATAACCGATTCTCTATCAGTATCAGTCCTTTCAAGAATAATTCATAATAATAATGTTCCTGTCTGAATTTTTAACAAGACGAGATTTTTTGTCAAAATCGAATTCGTATGTAGCAATGTCCTTAACCCAGTATATCATAACGTATATACCATATTTATTTTCATTTCTGGATAATTTTTAAAGATAATCTTCTAATTCTAATTTTTAGTGTGATTTATAGTCATAAATTACTTTAAAATCACCAGAAATTTGACATCTATTTGATAAGTGTTTCCCACTCACCTTCCTTCTGTGTTACATGATAATCATATTTACTTATGCTGCTATGGGAATCACAATGACTGTTTTCAATATAACCTTGTTGACTTATAATAAATGTGCTGAATTATGTATGTTAAGTGTACAGAAACTTTAGTACTGATATAAAATTATACCATACTAAGCATTTAATAAGATTTAAGGAAGCTCCTTGGATTCATTTATGTATCTTTATAATAAATGTCAAAGTTTGGATGTTTCTTAACCATTTGCTTAATTGACCTAGTGTATAATATTACCTTTTACCTAGAAAATTTATCTGTGTTTTCTTTGAAGAGACGGCTGTATTCAAAATAGTCTCAGACCATCACATGCGCTGTACATAGACAATGGTTTAGAACCTATTTATAATAATGCAAAATATGGAATAATTGATAGTGCGCATTATAATGCATATATTATGCAAAAACCAAGGCTTATGTAATTTAAGGATGAAAATTATATGGAAACTCTAAATTAAAACTTATCTCATCTATTTTTTTGTTAAATTATTTTCCCGTTTTAATTTCTTTGGAAAAACCGTGCATGTGAATTACACTTGTAATATTTACCTGTATCTGAATAAAGACTGAGTCTAAAATGTACATCCGTCTAATTGTTTAAAATTCTTCCTTTAGTCTTAAAAAGACCCACTCGTTTATATGAAGTAATATAAAACTTGAATGGTTAAAAACTTGTGATCGTTGATTATTAAAAGTATTACCATAAGAATACAAGACGACAAACAAATTTAATATGAGCGTTAATATTTCCTCATAAGACACGTCTAAATAGGAAATATTTGAGATTGAAGTCTATTTTATACTATATACTATATTTTATACTACATTATGGAGAGCACTGGTATTCGAACAACGTAGCACGCATCCCAAAATAGTTTCCCTATTATTAAGGTTAAATAACTGAGCGGAATTTTTATGGACCACATGTGCTTTTTAAAATTCACATTGAACAATGCTAAAAGGGGGTTTACTTCATAAATATATATTCTTTAAAAAAAAGAGACGCACACACAATTGAACCCCATCAACACCTTTAAAAACACGCTTTACCAGATATGGCGAAAATATCCATGAATACAAATGATAATGGTAAAATAGCAATACAATTTTCCAGTGCAGACAGATATGATGAAATCAGTCACTAGCTAAGATCCTGTTTAGTAGGGAAAAAATTTAAATCTTGCACTTAACAGAGGGGTCAACAAAAAATTCAAAGTAAAAGAAGAAATAAATCCATGAAAAAGCATTAACCTTTCTGATTTATAGCACAGGGTAACAACGATCGAATACACCCCAGAAAAGGATCAGAATATTATCAGCCTAACAACAAGAATATTCCAAGTATGCATAGAAAATACCAACGAGATACAAATACCAAAAATCTGAATGTCTAGCCTATTGAACGCAACTTAATTTGAAAATCAAACGCTGATATTAAACATTTCTTTTAACAGAGTATACACATAGGTCCTGAATCACTATATCGTTCTTTTATTTATTAATAAAAATCGTAATAAATTTTATACAACATGAACTACTGATTTAATTATTTGAATACATAAGTTCATCTCGTATTTCGTTTTAAGGTTGTTTGCCAAATACCTTGCAGTATTGTGTTGCAGTATTGCGTAAAATCATGCTATTGAGTACCTAAATTATGCTCCGTCATGACAAGAGTGTAACTAAAGGGGAAAAGGTTTCGATTCCAGTTACTTGTTTTAAAAGTCTATCCGTGTACTTCTGCCAACTATTGAGATCTACTAAGCACATTAGATTTTTCTCTCTGTTCATTTTATATAGTTGCCTAACTTATATGCAAAGTTCACAAAATAAAATAAGAGAATTTCGCATCAGCATCTATTATCCGCTGCTTCTGCAAATTGGAAGGATTCTTCCTTTCACAAATACATATTTTACATTTCCCCAAATCAGATAAAAATTGCTGATAACATTAAAATAAATATTGCCAACAAGTTGGCGAATGCAGAAAGAAAAGAGGAAAATTCTAGAATCTGTATTTTTAGCCCGATTCCCTTAAAAAAAGTCTGTAACGGACTTTTTCTTATCCTACGGCCCATTTTCCCTGAACAATTCCTTGGAATTTGTTCAAAGCCTTTTGACATATCTTGCTGATGAATGGACAGACAGACAGCCAGGAAATACTGTGGATTAACTTAAGAAGATACCATTTCCTACAGGCATGAGGCGTGCCCAACCATACGTTTCGTAGGCTGATCTTGTGATGGATCTGCTTTTAATACGTGTTCAAATTAATAATTTGCTTGTCCCGGCCCCCCCCCCCCAAAAAAAAAAAAAAAATCATTGTTCAGGTTGTACGGACCTCCATTTTATCGTTCACTACATCAAGCGATCCTACTACCTGTATCCTCTTCAGAAAATGCATAAACACATTGATTTTAGACTTGTTTATACGATATCTGCTCGGTATAACTATCAAAAATATCAACTTCGTATTAATCGTGAGCTTTGAAGGCAAGTCCATGAAGTCCTGGAGGAGCTATTAACATAAACCATGTATTTTTTAAATTATTTTATCATGTGTTTTGTGCATGCATTTCTTATGTTAATTCCGTGCATTACGTAAATTAGGCTGACAAAATGTTAATCAAAATAAATTCACAGAAAATATTTTATAACGGATGTCTACAATCTGGAACGTAGAATCTTTACATAGTTTATGTAAAATCATTTCCTTTACATAATCATTTTAGTGCATAGGGCACATTAAATCATAAAATAAATAACAAAAGACCAAAATCAAACGAAAGAGAATAACATCAAGTACTGTTATTTTTAAAAAATATATATAACAAACCCTTTCGTGAACTGCATATAGATTAAGTAAATGTCTTTCGAGAAGGTGTCAAACGTAAGCTTTATGATAAGCCAGGGGAAAAAAAAAGGAAGTAGCACTAAGCACTTTAAAATGTCTTAAACCAGTTTTTGTTACTTACCAAATACTGAACCTATTTGATCAAGAATAATAGAAAAGGGAGCAAAGGTAGAAGAACTGATTTAATATAAAGAAGAATGATCGAGGACACTTTAAACGTTAACTGGTTAAAGTAAGACAATAATTTCATGCTTTTCAATTGTGCTGCTGACCAAATGTTACAAGTTAATTTGCTATCGACTTCGATTGCTTGAATAATCTTGCAACATGGAGAGATAAACTTGTATATTTGAAAAAGAAAAGATAATTTTAACTTCAAATAGTTAAAGAACCTTTTGATATATAAGAAAAGACATTTACCAATAAATAATAGATAACCTATCTCTACAAGATATATGAATTGCATGGAACACATAATGTGAAATGAATAAATTGTTAAATCTAGGAGAAATCATATTACATATTTGTATGATGAATTTGAATAGTCTAACCATTACATATCAAATAGACAAGAACTATTGTAGGAGTTTATCATCAACACAAGCTTATTTTTAAAAAGATTGGTGAGCTACCGCTGTAGACATAAAAAAAAACAACACAGAAGTTGATATCATGTGTTTAATTTGCTGAATCGATTAATTATTAATAGGAAGACACAGTGATGCACTCAGGATGGTGTTTGGGTTACGGGGGTTTCAATTCAGAATTGGGAATCTAGAATGGGATTTAATAGCAAAACTGAGCATTCTGTAGTTTACGGTAATTTCAAATATCAGGTGAAAAATGCAATTATTTCAGAGATCAGTAGAACCAATTAGCATCTAGTTTAATATATTCCAGTGTGATAGTGTTTAGTAGCATTTGCGTCTTCTCGGGCCTTTCCGGTAAGCTCTCAGAACATATTCGAAGTCGTCTATCCGAGCTTGCCGGAAAGGCCAGGGAAGGTAGTTGAAAAAGGTAGGTTTTTATTATAATTTTAGATGTATTTGATTTCTAAAGTCTTAGTACCATAAAATGTATGAGGTGAAAATAATGAACAGTGATCGATGTCAAAAAATCTAAAAACAATACAAATCTGTGAACAGGGCATTAAATACGGATTGCCCAGAGGTGGGATCCGTGCGTATGAGGAGTAAGCATCTCCTGTTGACCGGTCACCCCGACTTGAGCCCTGTGTGCAGATCAGATAGACGAATCATTCCGTAGTCAAATTTAGTATAAAAACAAAGGACTAACAATTGGTATGAAACAAGTCAGCCAAATATGACCCAATGATAGGTTATATATGTTAACAAGGTCATTATAACGACCATAGAATTTACGAAATGCTGATTTTAAACGAAATTGTTGAAATCTCTGTGACATCAACTTATCTTTCAATAGCCTTCTTCAGTTTAAAAATTGATCGAACTCGGAGTATGCTCTTGAGTATCGAATAAGTTGAGAGAGATAAATACCATATGAAGATAATAGCAGAATATTACTACATTAACAAGAAAAATTGACGATGGAAAAGCTGAAGTCATCTCTTTTGTCATACAGTTTAGTTATTAGTTTGCCTTTATCGTCTATAGTCAGTAAAACATCCAAATATGAAGCAGATGTGGTTTATTTCAAGTTCACTAGAATATATCGAGTTGACATATGAATGGAAGTAACTATTGTTTATTGGTAAAACGTCGTCGATATATTTGAATGTCGAGTTGAGTGCCAAAGCAAGTATATTCTTCTTCTCATGAAGATTTTTTTTTAAAATAAATTCTGCTTCGTACGAATATAAAATCAAGTCGGCTAATAAAGATACACAATTATTGCCCATCGGTTTGCCCATCATCCAACAGTTTGTTGGACGACCTAGTCTCCGAAGACTACATAAATGTTGCTGATGAGGAATTCCAGCATTCTTTTAATATCTATATCAGAGTACTTTAATGTAGAATCTGAGTGGTTTTTAACAAAGTAATTTTTTTGATGACCAATTACAAGATATGAAAATTTCCGAGTTTCATTTTTATTGAAGAAGGTCTTGTGATATCATAAAGCCTAGTTTTTAGCTTATCACAAAGAATGATCGTATAAAGTGTAGATTAGTCGTACGTTTTGAAGTTGCAAATTAAAAAAATTGGCGATTTTGTTACACCACTTCTGATGTTTCTCCTTTATAGCATGCAGTTAATATTTTTGTAAGGAGTAAAGATAGAGGCTTGGTAGAGCATTTGCTTGGCCCGGCAATGTATCTCTTGCAAGATCTAACTTACTGTTACTTATTGTATAGTTATGTACAAGTAAGGCAACAAAACATGAAACTTCAGATCATATATATTTTAAGATTATAAAACAAAGTGGACATCGTACATTTTATCTGCAGTAGCATTCCCAGAATGCTCTACCGTAAAGGCGAACATGCGTATTTCAATAAAAAAGACTAACATATTTGCTAGCACTCGATTGCTAGCACTCGAGAGGGCTAGCAATGACAACCGTGACTTTTTAAAACAAATTTAAGGAACCACATGGAAATGAAATCCAATTTTTCCTTTTTATAGTTATTGCTATAGTCTCTTTTAAAATAAGGTATTATATCATCTGAAAACATAAAGATTTTATTGTCATAGTTATTACTTTCTGCACCTATGCAAAAAAAAAAAAAAAAAAAAAAAAAAAAAAAAAAACCACCCTGTTGTATCTGTTAGGATATTACAGTGTTAACGGCTTAGAAAGTATATATTTTATTTTGTTTTATTTATTTAATTAATTTTTTTTTTTGTGGGAGCTAGCCCATCCAAACAATATTGAATTTGTAATACCTAAAACGATATAGATACCATATGTAGCCATTAAGCACAAGAAATCGTATCTGACTGAGGTTAAACATAGAGTATTAAAAGTAAACAGAAGCAAAAAAAATAAATAAATAAATAAATAAATAAAAAAAAAAAATAAAAATAAAAATAAAAAAAGAATTAGGTCATTTAAACTATGTATCTTAACACCTTAACGTATACTTTTTTTTTTACATTTGAAGATCCTTGAAATCATCTATATTTCACTTTGCCTTCAAATCAAAGTTAACGAACAACATTCGTTCTGGGGCCACGCCATGTTATCCATACACTCAGTATATATTTCATACGTTTCTCTTATGTCTTCCGTCATTGGAGTGTCATTGATATGAACAAAGAAAATTCTTACACTAACATCCTTGTATATGTTCATTTTTTAATCTTGTATTTCGTATTTGTCTACACATGTGGCATACCTGTATACATATATACATAAAGACGTATATAGTTATCTGTTAGATAAATATTGTTTTATTATTAGACTTATAGTATTTTATCGTTTATTCGCTCATTATTAAAATAACTTAATCAATCAAAAAGAGGTTTATGTTTTACACAACTGGTTCATAGGTTTCCTTGAATTTTACTACAATTTCGAAAAAATGAGGAAATTGCTTCATAATGACATTTATGTCGTTATTTTCCATAATTTGTTATATTCTATTTTATGTGAAAGAACTATTTGCCACAATAATGCCTGTTTTTCTCTTTTCTGTTGCGTTTTGAAATATCTTTGACGTTTTTTTTAACTAAGAAGAAATTTTGTTGACAAAAATGAGACACTTTAGTTTGCTCAAGTTTAATGAGTTTTCGTACCCCCCTCCCGGTTTTCGCAATGTGTTAAATAAAAGCTTGATGATATATAATTGATTTGGCTAAAATGTAAATAATCAATTATTTTACATAAAACAAATCACCTGAGATAAAACATACATTTTACAGTGAATATAGGAATCGGAAATATCAATCTAGGAACAATAATTACAACAAAATAATTTTGTCCCAAGTTCTTTATTATATAAACATTGTGTTTCCTTGTTCAAGGGTGTATTGCAAACATTTGCAATAGTGAGTTCAGTGTTTGAATCATTGTTAACAGTATTAACCTGAGGTTTTGAGTGATCCAGCATAACTTTCTCGATGTTTTGATATCCTTTTGTTTTGTAAATAATATATTTAGGATAAGATGATATAATTTATCAAAGACAAGGAAACAAACATTCAGAGTATATACCTGAATAAAAAAGGTAAAAGATAACGAGCAGTGATCAATCTCATAAATACATATCTTGAACATGGCAAACACGGATGCAGCAATGGTGCCTAGGAAGAGTTAGCATTGCCTCTTGACCGCTCACTCCCGTCGCTAGCCCTTTTCATTTATTAGGTAAAAGGAATAACCCGTTGTAAAATTAGAAAAAAAACAAAACAAAACAATCTCCTCAAAAGTTTTGTAAAAAAAAAAATACGACCCAAAGAGAAATTGAATTTCCAAACATGGTCATGATAACGACCATAGAATTTAGGAAATGCTGATTTCAAACAAGATTGTGAAAGCCCTGTAACATTAACTTAGTTGTCGAATCCTGCTTCTCAGAAAATGCATGGCTGGGAGACCTAAACACCATTTGCAGGTAATAATGAAATATTTATACCTAAAGGGGAACGTTAAAAAAAGAAACCTTTATAAAAGGAATTAGATAATGTTTGAAGAATATGCAACCAAAAGGTTGACAAAAGTTCTGAAGCTCTACAAAAAGTTATACAAATGAAAATTTAATGCTTAATTTCTGCTAATAATCATTAGATTAATGACCAATTTTAAAATATATCCAATCTGTTTAAAAGTTTAATCTCAAAAAGACTGTTCAATAAATAAAATACCAGAATCCAACAAAATAAATTGACACTACGAAATTCAGATTAGATCTTTAGTGCTTTGAAGTGTAAGAGTATATTAACATATCAACATAATATATCAGTTTGACTAAAATATTCTGGTAGATAAAATAATGTTTTACTGAGAGACGAACAGGCAAACAAGGAAAAGACCTTCAGTTTCCGAGGACTGACCAAATGCAATTTAATTCTAGATCAACACAAATAGTGTTTTTTTTAAATCTCAATGTCAGCCTTAACTCTTTTGTAGCTCGCTTATCTATCTGTCTAGTAACTTTGACAAATACTTTTTAAAATATATCAAAATCATTTTGTGCTTAGTATGTACACAATCCAGATAATAAATACTTTGTAGCAGATTTAAAAGGAAAAAAAGAAGTACTGGTATGCCATGAAATATTTCTGCAAACACCAAATATTTATAAGTACATGTAACATGTTCTTTACAGATCCTTGCTCTAGCCTCTCTGGATTCACTGTTATCATGGACGACGGATATCGGTCGGCGGGTTGTTATCGTTCTCAGTCTCCTAACCTCTGTGATAGCAATCTAGATGAGGGATGGTATCGTCTACAGGCGTCTGACGAGTCGTCGTTCCTTAAGATCTACCAGTCATGTCCAAAACAGGGCCGTTGTGGCACAGACGAACCCATCTGGATGAATGGTATGGAAGAAAAAGTTAATTCCCAATAGTCGTAATCTTATACAAGACAGATCTATAAAAATGAATTTTGCATTCCTAAAATAATTATAAGAAAGGTATTGTGCACTGCGTCTGCCAGTGTATTTTTCTCCTGATATACATGTATCAAATACAATTAATTTCTACAGGCAACAATTCCTTTTATAAATTTCAGTTTATTGAAAAACTATTATTTCAATTTTTGACTTAGGGTCTTTACCGTCAGAGGGAGAAGGTATTGTCAAGAGGAAAATGTGTGTGAGGACTGCATTTGGTTGCTGCCAGCACTCTTTTGATATTCAAGTTAGGAACTGCTCCTCGTTCCTCACCTTCAAACTGAAACCTGCATCCAAGTGTAACCGCAGATACTGCTTCGGTACGTCAAGATATATTATCCCTGAATCTATATAAAAAAATCTACCCTGTCTTTTATATTTCGTTCTTTGCTTAACTACAATTCAATTATTTACGTATATCTTCAATCATAAAATAAAAGATAATGCCTTGTTTACAAAAAATGTACATGTATAACACTTCTGAAACTTGGACACAGATGGAGGCGTTTGTGGTTTACCATCTATGAATACTCCTTCCCCCACAACTACTCCAGGTAGGCCTATTATACACAATATTAACAGTAAATATCAATTTGTCTTTTTTAAAATTCATTTAAGGAATCAATCTAAATATATTGCTGATTAATGAGTAATGTCATTAGTAATACGGAAAGGATTTATTTACATGATTTATTAAATGACCTTTCATCAGTAATTTGAATCATCGTTAATTAATGTTTCTTAGTTAACTAAGTTACATTCCGTATTTTCATTTCCTGTGTACATTTCACATAAATAATAACTAATGCTGCTTCAATCATATATTTTATGTGCTTTTATGTTACACAAGGTAATGTTTGTCTAAATGGAACGTACCGAGAATCAACCAACAATGTTAGTGACGATAAAAGAAAGAATCCTTGCACACCCTGTTCTCCAGGCTTCTTCTGTGTGAATGGAGAAAAGAGCAGGTGCCCTCCAGGCTACTATTGTTCACCTGGATCATCAGAACCAATTCCCTGTCCCACAGGCAGCTATTGCCCTTCCGGTGGAATTCACCCAATTAAATGCAAAGCCGGACATTACAATCCTACAAACACCAGCAGCAATAGTTCTGACTGTTTGTCGTGTCCACCTGGATTCTACTGCTTTCTTCCAGGCGGAGATAGGCCGACAGGCCCCTGTCTTCCCGGATTCTTTTGCTCGGGCGGATCGACTACACCGACACCTGTTGAAGGAGTAATGGGTGACATGTGTCCAGCAGGAACATATTGCCCAAGAGGTTCACCAGAACCAATTCCCTGTCCCTCTGGATACTTTAATCCTTACACCACCCGTGGAGAATGTGAAGTTTGTCTAGGAAACCTTACATGTCCTGTGGGATCTCTTTACCCTTCGGAATGCAATCCTGAAAGGGAAAACATCAGTATTCTATGTTCTGTAAACTATGGTAAATATATTTTTCATTTTTTTTTTAATTTTTAAAATTGATTATTGTTATTATATATACATAATACACCGAAATTGTATTTAAAGTATATCATTCCTTTATTCTTAATCAGAAAATACCACAAATCCCTGCATTAACAGCGATGGATCACAAAAAGCTGGTATATGTACGGACTGCCCAAAGGGAAATTTATGTAAGGATGGATTTAATATTACTTGTCCTGCGGGATATTTCTGTCCAAACGGATCAAGTGTATTCATATGCCCTGAAGGATTTTACTGTCCAGAGGGACAAGTGTGGCCTCTTCCTTGTGATATTGGAACTTTTAATCCTTATTATGGTAACTCTACAGGGAAGGCCTGTTTGAAATGTTCTCCAGGTATGTTTTGTTCTGGAAAAAATCTCTCTGTTCCCACGGGACCTTGTTCATCAGGATTCTACTGTAATAGAGGAGCAGTATCACCCACTCCGTTGAATGGCCGTGGGGGTGACATTTGTCCAGCCGGACATTATTGTTTAGAGGGTACAGGAATCTTTACACCCTGTCCCAGTATGACTTACAATCCTTCCAGAGGACAACCGAATAATCAGTCATGTCTTCCATGTCCAGATGCATACACGTGTAATGGAAAAGGACTTAGTCTACCGAACGAATGTAGTCCTAACAATACGAACACTACTGATGCTTTACTGAATAAAAATTGTACAAAACTAGGTAAAATATTCAACCATCTTTACAACCAGATATACATCAGTAATTTAATTATCTACACAAGATCAAAATCTTTTAAATCTATTAGTAGTGAAGAAAGTACTGTTGAGCAATGTGATAGATCAACCTCACATAACACTTCATCATGATGACATATTGCTAGGAAAGAGCAGATATGTTATTCTTGAATTGCGTTTTACAGTCTCAAAGGACACTAATTTCTTTCTACGTTCTAAAAATTATTATCTCAGTTCATTTTAGATAAGGAAAGTATGGGTATTTTTGATAACATGTAGAACAGATATATATATATATATATATATATATATATATATATATATATATATATATATATATATATATATATATATATATATATATTCTCTCATTTATTTTTTTCGTATATTATGTTTTAGCTGGGGATTATTGTAAAAATGATACAATGTGTCTAAACAATGGGCAATGTATCACTTACAACAAAACACGTGGTTTTTGCGACTGTTTGCCAAATTTTGATGGAAATTTTTGCGAGATCGGTAAGATTGCCTATGTAGAAGAGTGTTTGCTTGATTTTATTGTGAGCCCATTGTCTATATTTTATTTACATGGATGACCATCTTTTCCTGACCAGATACAACTCTGCTATTCCTTGGAGAGAACTCCACATTAACTTACGAGACAGTGGAGAACATGGCAATAGTCCTAGAAATCGTGTTTGGAACGTCACACTTGGAAAGAAAGATTGAGATCACGTGGTATAAGGACGACTTGATGATCAGAAACTCGTCTCGTGTTCAGCTTACACTGGAGGTAGTGGAAAGCTACTATAGACTTTACAAAGCTAAACTAAGGATCAAATCTGCAAGGACATATGATAACGGTATGGTAAAGCAAAATTGTAGAATTAATGCTTGAAATATATTTTATAATATATCTTACAAAAGCTTCAGATGAAACATAAATATGGCAATGAAATGGAAATTGAAATCCAAAAATATTTACTTAAACCTTAAAACTAAATTGTCTTTCCTATCTTAAGACATTGTACTTTTCATTTCTTCACTGTCCATGAATTTCCCTTTTTTGTTACAGGCACCCTGAACGTTGTTGCAGGTATTCCTCAACTCGATATCAATTTCTCAACGAATCTGTCCCTGGCAGTTAGAAAGTTACCAATAGTAAACATCTCCCCGTTGTCATTAAGTGTTCAGAGAGGAGCAACTATAGTACTACAGTGCCGTGTCCAAAACCTAGAACAACCAAATATGACAGTCACATTAGACTGGATCAAAAGTGGAGATTTCAGATGGAGGGAGAGACGTATGTATAGGTCAAAAAATTTTGGGGTCTCAACTGTGTCTAAGTAACAGTCTGTTTCTGGATATTGCATTTTCACACAGTTTATGTTATCGATGATAAAATTATATATTTTTAGTAAAAATAAAAGTATGTTGATTTTTCAAAAAATCGATCGAATTCAATTACGTGTTCATTCTTAACCCTGCAAATGGCAGGAAAAACCTTCATACTGCTAAACAAAATTTGAAATAAAGCTTTATTTGATTTTTTTATTTGAAGCCAAGTAATGCATATTCGTTGGATACTCTGCAATTCAGAAATTTTATTCAAAGAAGCTTATCGTATCGAGAAAAAGTAATAATTTTGATAAAATATACACAACAAGTATGCACTATGCATAAGTTAATGAAGAATACTTTCACATTTTTCAGAGCTGACAAAGAATGGATCTATTCTAAGAGTTCCAAACGCCCAGAAGAATCGGACAGGGAGATATAAATGTTTATTGACCTACAGCTTACTGGGTGTGAATGGCACCAGTAGTGCTGTATCAGATGTGTTTGTCTACTCTCCAGGTAAAAACTCGTCCCCTTTACCCTTAGGATATGAACAGACATTTCCTTTTATTTTTTCTAATATTTTTTTTTCTTATTTTAGAGGACCTTCGCTGCATGAAGACTGTAGACGAACACGGGATCCAGTGGGAGTTTGGGATGATAGGAGTCACATACTATGCTCTTTGTCCTGACGATTACGTAGGTCAGTATTATGCAGTGACAACAAGCAAGATACTGCTATGGTCTATGTCAGTGAAATAAAATTGACTGTAATGAAGAAAACCAATGTGGATATCTTGTTCAATTTTGACATTTTTCAGGAAATGCAAGTAAACAGTGTAGAACTGATGGGACTTGGGGGCGAACTGTAACAATAAACTGTGTGGAAAAAACTCTGGCCAAGGCAAACGAGAAGGTAACTACTGTATATAAGGAGATGCCTGTAAAATCAGATCAGTATGCACCATTGACTAATTAAGTAAAATCATATTATTTGACTTGAATGAGCGAACATTGCATTGTTTATTTAGCTGGACAATATCATAACAGACAACATTATAGATACAAGTTTTGTATCATCTGTTGTCGAGAGACAAATGGCTGCAATGCGTAACTTGACTACACAAAAGAAGGGTACTTCTGGGGATGTGGATAAAACAGTTGGCTTCCTTGACAAAATTCTAAAAGTAACAGAAGCAGCAGATGCCAAACTACCAGATCAGGTAACATTTATTATGACAATTGCTGGGTTTGAATTAAGACATGTATTTTTCATATCTTTTATTTTTCCTTTAAATTTATATTAAAAAAAAAAACAGCTAATTTTGATTTTCTTTGCTCCGAGTTAAATAACATACCACTGTCTTGTGATTCAATAGTACTTAATGTGTTTCTAAAGGATTTTGCAAAAGTTGTGGATAACGTCTTGAGCGAAACGCAGAGTCAAAATTGGAAAGATATCAACGAACAGGTAATATAGTATAAGTATTCCCCTTTACATTTACATGTATTTATATTACAATGAAAACCCTTTCAAATGTCTTGCATTACTCCTATAGATCTTCATTCTCAAATGTTATCACTCTTTCTTCCGTTTTTGATACTAGTTTTTGTTTTACAGACTAAAGATGGATCCTCTCGAATATTGTCAACTGTAGCAGAATTTGGACATCAGGTTTCCAAAGGACTGAAAAGTAGAGGAAACAAAACCATTAAAGCGAATAATTATCGTACGTAAAAAGGGGAATTATACCTTTTCATTAAATTATCGATGTGTACTTTTTAAATAGTTACTAAAAGTTTATTGGGTTTTTTGTATTAAAGTAATGTCAGTTGGTCGAGGATCTTCGAGAGAGGCAGTGGAATTTCCGGGATCCATAGCAACAGAATCATCCTCCTTGGTTTTACCCGTCCAATCAGAACCAAATATAAACGGTATAATGACTATAAGTATTGTCTTAAAATAGAAATGTATTGCTTTCTTGATAAAAAAAGGTTAAGAAATGAAAATTATACTGTTTTACAAAAATGAAACTTCTTTTCACGGCAGATATTGTATATTCAGCAACTGTTTACCGTACGGTGTACACCTTCCTTCCGTCCAGAAATAAAATATCAGGGTAGGTGTTATATTTAGAGGCCAGTCGGTGAATGAGTTACAAATGTGATGTACAAAATGCATTAAGATCATATTTTCTTGAAGAAACGAATCTACGAAAAGTTTCAATTTAAACTCGGATGTTTTGTCTATGACCATCATGGATGAAAGAGAAAGAATTTCACTGAATCCTGGAATTATGATGAATATCAATCATAAAAGAGAAGTAAGTATTTGTACGATAGACAAAATACCTAGTACCTGAAGAATGTTAAATTATTATGTACATGAATATGTAATAATATTTTGTATTAATAATTTCACAGACTGATCTTCAAGAGACAGACGTTGTATGCGTGTTTTGGAATTTCACTGTCGGGTATTTTTTTTTAAATTTTTTTTTCTTTTATACTTAACTTCGAAAAATTCCAAAATATGTTTCTCATGTATTGTTTAATCATGCTAGATGAATTTGTTTTTGTTTAAATGCTTAATTAAAAATCATACATCTTTAATATCTCTTCAGTTCATGGTCTTCAGAGGGTTGCAATACAACAAGAGTAAACAATCACGTGACCAAATGTGAATGTGACCATTTGACAAACTTCGCTATTTTGATGCGTCCATACGAGAATGTAAGCTATTTATTAGTATGTCATCAGGAAATCTGAATGAATCAAGTCCCTAACAAAGTTTTTGGACATCGATAATTGAATAAATGAAAAATATAATATTCATACCTAATCTATGTAAATTGCATAATTTGAAATAGGAAAAAGAAGATGATGTGTTGTCGTTGATATCTCTGATTGGTTGTTCCATTACTGTTGTTCTGTCAGCCATTACATTCTTCGTCTTTATTATATTGTGGAGGTATGACAATGCGCTGTTTATATTTTTACATTATAACAGTAATATTTCTACTCTTTTGTCTTTTTCAGTATTATCCGACACTATTTTTATTGTCTTTTCCGGTTTTAGATATGTAAAGAACGATCAGAATCTAGTTCTGGTACATCTATGTCTCAGTATTTCTCTGGCTTACCTCCTTTTCCTTGTCGGAATAAACAGAACAGAAAACAAGGTATCATATCTCAAGAGCATTTATCTATGATTGTCTTTTTAATTCCCATCAAGATTTTAAACAGATTAGACGTACAATAAAGATTATTTGCTCTGATATAAAGGTGATGCGTGTATCCAACGTGTGAAGATTAAAAATGCTAAGTAAATACACACGTGGAATAAGACAGTTACTCCTTGATTGTAATATTGCAATTCTAATCTAAGCCTACACCTTTGTTATAAAATTTTATAGAAGTTTTATTAAAATATTATCTAGAGAAAATTATCTTAAACTTGATGAATAAAAAAATATTAAAAATCGTATGAAATGTTTTTACAGGTGTTATGTACAGTAATTGCAGCTTTCCTTCAATATTTCTTCTTGGTGGAGTTCTTTCTTATGCTGGCGATGGGCGTCTACTATTTCCTACAGATTACCGTCCTATATTACTCATTTAGCACTGCAAATGATGTTAAAGCCAGACTCAATATGAAGAGGATATTACCCATCGCTTGGGGTATGCAATTGGCACCTTTAAGGGGGAATACTCTCTGCTCACTGAGATGAACTTAATAATGATGGAAATGTTCTAACAGATATGCTATTAAATGAAATTCAAAGAAAAGTACTACAACAACAAGGGACATTTGAGATTATACATAATTTACCTTAAAGATAGTTTTAAACAGAAAAATAGAGATACATCATGTTTATTCTTGAATTGATCGCTTTAGTAATTTGGCTTGGTAACACTACTGTAGACAAAGAACACAACAGTAACTGTGAATGTTCAAGTCTTGTACATTGTAATAATATGGCTGGTTTTTTTGTCTTGCAGTTATTCCAATTTTAATAACAGGCATCACAATAGGAGCAACGTATACCAGAGAATACAACCAAAGTCATTCGTAAGGCACCTTAATGCTTGAAAACCTGCTCCACAAAATAAAATATATAAAAAGTTGGCTAAAATTCAATAGGCTTAATTTAACATCTATTGCAAAACTGTCTTCCATTCCAGATGCTGGTTATCTACAAAGAGTGGATCTATATATGGCTTTGTTGGTCCTGTTCTACTTATCATTTGTGTATGTACATGTATATATAAAAAACAAAAACTGATTTTTGGATCTGATAAACATAAAATATCCGAGAAATTTGCCTATATGAAGAACTTTTTCATAGGATGAGGCATATTGACTTACTTGATATTTAGTGAAAATTAAATTCCAGTAAAATCAATTAAAAATGAAAAAAACAAAAAAAAAAACAAAAGCAAAAAAAAAACAAAAAACAAAAAAAAAAAAAAAAAAAAAAAAAACAAAAAAAAAAAAACAAAAAAAAAAACAAAACAAAACAAAACGTCAACAAAACAAAAAAACAACAACAAAAAACAACAACAACAAAAAAAAACAACAAAAAACAACAAAAAAAACAAAAAACAAAAAAACAAAAACAAAAAACAAAAAAAAAAAAAAAACAAAACAAAACAAAACAAAACAAAACAAAAAAATTATTAAATGCAATTTCTTTAAGAGAACAAGGTTTTATTCTTCATTTTTAAAAAAAATCTTCTACTTTATTTTCAAAGATTAAATTGATTTTGTCTTTGTGCTCTGAATATGTATCATTTGCTGATATGTACATTTTGAAAAATTTTATTGCAGATTAATTTATTTATAATATGTTCCCTATTTCGGGTGATGTGTGCAACAAGGTTGTTAACCGAGTCAACGACAAAAAAGAAGGCAGCGTAAGTATTTCTGGATGGAAAATGTGATGTGTTTACAAGAAAAGAGATGGAACAGAAAAATTAGATGCAGATTTATTCAATAAACGATATTTTTCATATTTCTTTTCTCTAGAACTGGTGCGCGGAGTTTGTGCACACTTCTACCCGTACTGGGTATCACGTGGGTGTTTGGAATTTTATCTATCAATGAAGATTTAATTGTCTTCCAGTATCTTTTTGCAGTATTTAATTCCCTACAGGTAAAAACTGCCCTTCAACATTTTCCTCTTAACACAGATTTGTTTATTCATAGTTAGTCCATAAATAAACAATATTTTTCGTTTTATTTTTTTAAAGTATGCTATGCTCTTACAATTGTAAATTATGCTTTGATATATATTTACTTTTTAGGGACTATTTATTTTTCTGCCAAACTGTGTATTCAATAAAAAGGTAAACTATATTTTATGTTATAGCGTACAAAATATTTTACACTCTTTAAAGTGGCATAAGACATCAAAATGCAATATCAGAGTATATTACATATTTGTTTCTTAAATTGCAATTTATCTATCTAAGTAAATATCTAGATTATCATTTATGACACTAGTTCAGAAAAATAAATTCTCTTTAGGTTAGAGAGGGCCTTCTTCATAAGATGCGGTTGTTTGAATCACAGCAAGAAAATAGTAAAATACAGTCCAAAAATTTAAAAAGATTTTCAAATGCACAGGAGAATTTGAAAACAGTAAAGGTATTGATCTTGATAATTCTGAATTTTTAACTGGAATTGAGGTAATATCATTATAAATCTCTTATTTGAAATTTGCTTTAACCAGAAGGACAAAGAGAAAGTGGCAAATATTTCCAGAAGAGTTACTCCCCCAGGTGTGTTTACTTTTTGTATTTTGCACAAATGTCCATTGCCCACGCATACTAATACTAGTAAATTGTTCGTTGGATTATTAATTTCACATCAGTTTTTGTTGTTTTCCTTTACAGTTCGACTTATTAGATATACAAAGCAGTTAGATTTCATAGATGGTAAGGCATAGTGATCATGAATTATCTATATCCTACTTTCTTTTCCTTTCTATTCTTATATAAATCTTTAAATGGAATCAACGATCTCTGCACTTCCGATCTCCTTTTAACCCTACAAACCAGTATATTAAGTACTAAATACCTGTATTTACTAATTGAGCATTACATACATATATGCAAAGTACTATATGTACATACCTTGAGACAACATATTGTTACGACAAACACAGTTTACATAATACTTGCCCTTTTAAGAGTTGTAAGTTTGGCAGTTCATGCACACCTTGTTTAATCTTGGTATGGGTAAAATATGCTCCAAAGAGATTTAAGTACCTCTCAATTTAATTTTTCTCATTTTATGGAGTTGTTTTATAAAAATTATTTTTTTTCCTCCTGTCTGTGTTTTGACTTGCAATAGCAGTTGAACATTTTTGTTTCTGTTTAGGTGGATATGATAATGTCTGTTTTGATGCCATGTTACCTTCAGAAGAAACCCTGTCTCAGAGTACACCGGTAAGTTGGGATTTGATTTCTACGCATTACTGTCAGTAGTATCATATGAAAGAGGTTGAATTTTGTACTAATATTTTCTAAAATAATCTTATGCCAGGGAACTGTTAAAAACAAGGTAATTACAAACACAGATATTTTTAGTATTGTACAAATTTTTATTTCAGTTGCATATTTTTCTTCTTTTTTATGTGCTTTAAATTTACTACATGGTTTGTGCAAAAATCTAATAGTTTATTTTCTTCAGCTTTCTAATGAAGTTAAAAAAAAAATACTTTTTTTCAGTAAACGAGTTATTTTTTTTAAGAGATATGCTGGTTTCAATATTTTCTTAACTTTTCTAATAAATGGCACATTTTGTTTTTTTATGAACTTAATATATTTTCATATATGGCTCAACTGGGTATTTTTCTTTTATAAGAAACTTATCTATTTATATGTCGACTCGATATGCCCCAGTGAACTTGAAATAAAAGTCTAATAAAAATAATAAAAAACACACTGAATTGTCCACGGATTTTTCCGTTTTCCCGATCGTGAAAAGGAGCACATATCGGATGTGACCGGTCGACAGGGTATGCTTACTCCTCCATTCCACCTGATCCCATCTCTGATGTTTTCGAGGTCCGTGTTCTGCTCCAGATCTGTATTGTTTCAGTGGACTTTTGAGCTTGATTACTGTTCGTTATCTTCATATTTCCTGAAAGCTTCATAACATAAGTGTAGATTCAAATTTGTTCACGTCATGACCTCTGGGATAGAATGGGGCCACAGTATGCAATCAAAGTTTTACTAAGGAATATATATAGGAATTCATCTTTAAAAATCTTCTTCTCAAGAACAGTAAAGTCCTCGATTAGTCATATAAATATGGAAAGATCCTCAGGTAGTGAAGAATCAAATTTGTTCAAATCATTATTCCTGGGGCTAGGGTGAACAACAATAGGCGATCAAAGGTTTACATAGGAATGCATAGGGAAAAAAATATTTCAAGATCTTCTCAAGAACATCAAAGCCATGAAAGTATTCTCAGATTATATAGATTTAATTTTGTATAAATTATGACCCCGGTGGTAGGGTGGGGCCACAGTAGGTGATCGAAGTTTCATAGAAATGTATAAGAATTAGTCTTTAAAAAATAAGGGAGTATCCTCAGAGTAGACCTAGTTTTGTTAAAAGCATGGCCCATGGGAGGTAGTTTTGGATCACATGATCAAAGTTATACATAGGAATATATTGGGAAAAAATGCTGATGAAAAACAGCTGGTCCGTAGTGACTGCGGTAAGCGTTGTCGTTCATGAGCCTCTTGTTAACATTTATCAAAAAGGTTATTTATTTTGCTAAATTATTCTCTTTACAGAAAACATCACAAACAAATTTACAGTCAAAATCGGAGGAAAATGGATTTTATAATGTTGATTTATATGGCCAAGGTCAATTGTAAAAGGAAGTGTCGTAAAAACCACGTTTGTGCCAAAGAGTGATAGAATGTCACAAACATTTACAAAAAAAATATGCTTTGTATATTTTATTATTCATTTATGTTTTACAAATAAAAGATATATATTTCAAAATTGTTATCAGTTACAAACAACAACATATTTTAAAGTCCAGAGCGGATGAAAAGTCATTCTGAAGCATGATGCCCAAAGAAACATGTGCTGATGCTCATAGGTACAAGTTACCTGATGAGTGGTGAAATTCGCAGACTACATTCAAACATTCAGCTACAAGAACCAGATCTTGTTCTAAACAAACCTATTATACATGTATTTCTTACTGTTAACTTTATGGTGCTGACGTTTTATGCTTATAGAGATCTGAGTAACATACAGGATCGGAGCAGATAATTAAAAATAATGTTTTACAATCAAAGCAACATAATTCAACAAAGCGAAAGTGAAAGGAATCTATGAACTCTTTCTATGAAATCAATATATGTTTTGCTAAAGTTCAAATTTTGTTTATTTCGAGGTACCCCATTGCCCATTGAACTACAACGAACATTAATATCGTTGATCTCTTCTTCAGCAAGTTTTAACATTTTCGCCCAAGAATTAAATCGATAAAAACGTGTAATTCCTGAAAAATTGTCCTCCTTCCATCTTCGCACAAGATTTTTTTTCCATATGATTGTCATTTAGATACAGAAGGTGTTATTGGTTAACTGCAGTTTTTATCATTTAACATATTGCTGACTGACGTTTTTCATACTAATTGTTAGGTCATTATTTACACACTGAATTGTCGACGGATTTTTTACGTTATTTCCCGATCATGACAAGGAGCACACGGCGGGTGTGACCGGTCGGCAGGGGATGCTCAATCCTCCATGGCACCTGATCCCAACTCTGATGTTTTAGAGGTCCGTGTTTGATCTGCTCCAAAATTTGTATTGTTCAATGGACTTTTGAGCTTGAATATTGTTTGTTATCTCCATATATTTCACGGTACATGGGTATGGAATAATGAAGAATATTAAAATGTGTATCAAAGACTTTCAGTATACATACAGAGATTACCGGGCCGACTAAATAGTTGAAAATGTAAGCAGTACATATATATAGACACGATGACATAAAACACTTGTCTTAAAAAGTCATTTTTCAGCATACTGGTAAGTGTTAAAACTAATACCCATATAAATATTAAAACATACATTTTAGCATTGTATGCTAATTATGTGTATTTTAGCATTTTTATGCTTATATTTACATTTTTAAAATCCTTGCCTTGACTGCAAATGTGATATATATTTCAAAATCCCTGTAATATCCTTCGGGTAAGTTACAATTAATGGAAGAACCGTTGCTACAAGTTCTGTTAAATGGTAGGTTGAATTTTGAATTCCACTTATAACGTTGCACTTTCACGGCGTTCAACGTTTGTGACGTTAAAATAAAACGCATACTTTAATTTTCTGACCCCTGTCCGTGTTATGGTGATTTAAATGCCGTAGCTTTCCTCACACTTTATAAGCAAAATACATGTGAAATGTTAATGTAAATATAAGAATCATAATTTCCTTAACCATTAGAGATCATCAAGACCTTTGAAGCATATTTAAGGATATTCTTTTTATAACTGACCCATAATTTGTAACAATCAAAAGATTGTTTTTCGTATCACAACAAATTAGCTCTATCTCCCCAAAAGGGAAAGGCACAGCTCTCAACATTTCGCCATTGTCAGTGATAATTCCGAGAAGTGGACATATTTCGGGTCCATAGCACACCAAAAACTGCTCTTTGAAATTTGTCGCAACAGAACGAAGATACGATATCTCAACACAAGGTATCTTTTTATTGGTGCTCAATTGAAAAAGGACAGTTCCTTTAACGTCTACAGTACAAAGTATTCCATTTGCATTTTCATCAGTACATCTTGGACTTTCATAAAGTGACTCACCTCGACTGTCAAAGTCAATCGCATTAATTGCACCAGAAGTGGTGTCTAGTCGCACAATAATTCCACGTTTGAGTTTGACATACGATATGGCCAAAAATATAACATCAAAAATATTAGAATAAAGTCCACAAATCATTTTATTCTTGTTCAGCTGAAGTTGTTTTAAATCCTGAATAACTTGTGTTCCGCCATCTTTTAATAAATCAATGGAATCATTTGCCTCGTTGAAGTAATACACATTTCCACAGGAATTTACAGAGTGGAAGCATGATACTTTGGGTGGAAGATATATTTTTTCCATTAATCGTCCACGAAAGTCATATTTTTCGCTGAAAATCAGACTTCCCTTTCGGTTTTCTAATGTTATCCAAAATGAACCATGACAGACACTAGCAACACTTCCTATGCAACGTGTATCTCTTTCTTTCCGAGTATCTCTTAAGTTTACGACTTCAATTAAATTGAGGTTCCTTTCAAGTTGGAACTTGTAGTAGGGTAATGCATTTAATGAATTAAAAACGGTAACAAATTCCTCCTCAGTGACGGAACTCTTAGAAGACAGAACATGATTTGTATGCGGTGTTGTACAATCATCACAAAAATGACAAAGACAATTCCAACAGTATTTTTTACTGTATTTTTGTCCATGAAGGTAACATCGCGACCTGACAGTATATGACTTGTATCTACCCCTGTATGGAACTACATTATGATCCCTCACATTTAGAGTCAGATGATCAACAGCACAACTGCAGCATAATCCAGCTTCACATTTAGTGCACCAGTCTTGCAAAAGATTAGAACATTCACTGCACAGTTTCACAAAGCACTCTTCCCTTGTGGACATTGCGACTCGAGTTTTCGTTAGAAAATGGCGAATCTTGAAGCAGAACAACTTCCTTGTTTTGTATCGATGGTTCAAGTAACTTAATACATTTCAAAACAGTAATTATTCTATTTTTGTCGGCTATTCAGTTCAGCCAATGTCATATGATTCCAAATAATGTGGGTCTTGACAATCTCTGTTTACACACACTGTGCAATAGAAATATAATCAGTAAGTCGCTTTTTGTAAACCTATATTTATCTGAATGAAAAAGGTGAGGATAACGAACAGTGATCAATGTCATAAACCTAGTAAAGCATATGAATCGTAAACAGAACAAAAACACGGATCCCTGAAAACACCAGAGGTAAGATCAGGTGCCTAGGAGAAGAACGCATCCCCTGTGACCGGTCACACCTGGCCGAGAGCACTCTGTATTTATCAGTTAAACGGAGATACTATTTTCCTTTTAAGTCAAGCAGCGGTAATATGTTTAATTATTTATCTTAATCTCTGCAAAGTATGCAAAGAAATTCCACTGTTAAAGTTAAAATATTTGACTTCAAACGTATTTTTCCAACAAGTACAGCGGGTTTGACCAGTCGACATGGGATGCTTACTCCTCCTGAACACCTGATCCAACTTGTAGTGTTTCCATTGGACCGTGTGCTTTTGATATAGATAACAAAAGAAAACAGCATTAAAGGAATAAACTTTAATAAATATAAACTAAGAGGAATTACTCTTTATTTGAATTCCATAATGAATATACAAAACAGTTAACATTAAATGATCATCAGAACATTATCTTGATAGCAGTAGTCTACACTGGAATGCATTGATACATAAAGTACTGATTAGGAACTACATATACATTGTATTAGTTTTATTAAGATGGTGAACTTGTGGCTAAAATGAAGGATAGCAACCAAATGCAGAATTACTAATCGATTAAAAAAAACTTCGTACAAATCGATTATTGTTGAATCCTTTTAATAAACATAAATAATGGAAATATTGTCTTAAATAAATATGAATTCTGAAATTTGGGTCATATTAATAGCATTAAAACAGTTAGGTATCACCAACATATAATGCACTCAAGCAGAAAAGAGATGATAAAATAATGATAAATTGGGCGCTGTCATTTATACTTCATTACTTCAACAGTTTTCTTTATCTGATCGTCATGCATTGTCAAAGAGCTGTATTGACACTTTCTCTTCCCATGAAAGAAATCCCCTGAAAAGTCAATGTTTAATATTTAGAAATTAAATTATTCACTCAAACTCGTACCTTAACTACGTTAGAAGTGTATCATTTGAACATTTCTTTTTGTTTCCGTATTTCTTAATTTGAAGGTCAATCTGAGGAAAAAGGACAATTGCTTATATCACTATAGATATTCCTTGTGGTTAATTTATAATGGTTAATTACATAGAAAATACCTCGATGAGATTCCCTTTTCTAACTTCATTGACTGACTCTCCTCCAGGTTGAATCTTCAATTTAACAGAAAAAAACATTCTTATTCCTTATTTTATTTTATTCTTATTCCTTATTTTATGGTATTTGCTCAATCCTATTACTACTTAAAGCATATCTTTGTTTCAGTGCACTTATGACGGACAAGATACACATAAAGGATCTCTTTGTTTTAGGAATATCATTTAAAAATAAACAAATAGATAAATGATACGTAAAGTTGCATATTTCAAAATAGAATATTGCTAGATTATTGTCATATCTGGATGAAATATTTTGTTGGTATTCGTTTATTTGTTAGGTATGTGCTTGTCTTTAATAAGAATAAAATTAGCATGACTCATGAATATACATAGAACGAAAATCAATTTAAACAACATTTTTATCTCTTGTATGTACAAGGAAACTCACTCTAGACACTGATGAAAACTCCTTCGTGTTCATGGACAGCGGATTGCTGCTAAGTAATGCATAAAGCCTACTTCTCCAATTTTCTGAATCTTTTTTGTGTATGCTCCCACTAAGCAACTTTCTAATCTGTAGCATGACGTTAAAATTTTACTCATCAATTTATAGGGTATATCCGGGTAATTCCGGACAAATTGTTCGAAAGGAAAATCAATGCGAAACTGACTGATAAGTAGCCTAGTCTCAAATGAAATGAAATAAAACCTCAAAGCAGGTTCAAGTAGAAGTTTAAAAAAAACACACATCGTTCTGAGTCTTCATAGTCAACAAAAATTGGTCTCTTTATTATTTGACCTTGCAATTAAGAAGTAATGAAAAATCGAAAAACAATTACAAACTCATTAAATTTTCTATGTTGTTTAGTGTCCCTACCTTTTTGTTCAGGAGGCATTTGGAGATGAAAATGAAAAGACCCTTGAAAGGAAATAAGAGTATCAAATCATTATTTCTTACATACATATGTAATCCGTGACATGATGATAAATGTATCCAAACAATATTAAAAAATAACCAAATACCTGAAAGGAGTTCAACAGAGAGAATATATACTGAAACACGACCACATCATCATTAATGGACAATAGACCAAAGAGCCAGGTCACTCCAAGAACAGGTAAAAGGGTACAGATGGACCTTATTCCGGCCCTGAAATGATTCAAGACAGTTTGTAATTTATTGATTGTTTGTTTGTCTACTTTAAAAATGGGTTAATTTCATGAAGATATGCCATGAACTTGGCATATCTTTATTGAAATTCATGTTTCCTTGCTTTGATTTCTATCATTTTAGCACGCCTACTATATCCAGTCTGTCTTACAGTGTTCTTTTCTTCATTTTGCCTTGTGATGAAAATGCGGTTGAACAAAGCGTCACGACGAGACTGATTACAATAACAATATTGATCTGAAAATTTTAAAAAAAAAATCTTTGCCTTTGCTTTGCTAACACGTAAAATTTGTTCGCTACATCTCATCATATATATCATCATCAGTTAAAAATATTGTTTTTTTTTTATTTTGTTTCGATTAGCAGTGAGTATAATTGAAATAAATGAAGCATGAAAATGACGACTTCCTACCAAAATTGTGAAGGCTACGGGTCCAATAAAGCCAAACAAAGCGCCACTTTCAACCGATAACCAACAACTGTAAAATAGTACTTTAAAAACAATGTTTTCTTGGAGAAAAAAGGTAGTTTATATCAGAGTGTCATAAAGTAGTTTTGGTACCTGGTTTTTGAATGATAGTCTTTGCCCAATGAATATACGATTCCGAAAGTTACAGCAGTTATACACACTGGAGTGGCTAAAACAAACGTAAGGTTTTCCTCCTCATAATTATCATCACATTATGAATTTCAAAAATTGTCACAAATTAAACGCTGTTTTCAATTCTTATTTTAATTCACCAGATAGTAAATGTTGCACTCACAAATGACAACTCCCCACGTGACTTTACCGAAAGATTCATCATGACTTTGAAGTGTTGTTGCTTTGGAAAGTGATAATTTGACCAATGAGATGCTGCTGAAATAGTACCATCCAAGTGCCAGCATAAGAAAGAAAATGAATAGGAACAGATAATGCAACAATGCTGTAGTAATGGTGCACCCAATCTGAAACATTTAAAAAACCAATATTACACCCAATACTTCGACATGTAGCTCCGCCAAGGAAGAAAACCAAATAATTTGTTTAGAAGTAATTTAGAGAACATTTCAGCCAATTTCCTAAGAAGATCAATCAAACCCTTACGTTATACTGGATTTTATCAACTCCTATTAGAAATATTGTGTAAGCCAAGGCGAGACTTAAGCAGAGAAGCACAGTGATCTTATTTATCATTCGGTTGAGGTGGCCCGTAATAGATCTGTAAGAGAAGACAATTGTAGTTCACTCTGAAATATATCATGATTTATTATTTAAATAACACGCTAAAAAAACTTACTTCCAAAAAAAGATGTAAATAATGGCCGTCAGGAAAGACAGACACACTGATATCGAGCAACCAATTATAGATATCAAGCTCAATGCCTCATCTTCGCCTTGAATCTATTAGGGAGAAAGGGATATCCTACTTAATGATAATGAAATCATTTATCTTCATTGGGGTTAATTTTTGTTGTTGTCATGGTATGAAAAGTTCAACGACGTCATGTCCTCCAGTGCTTAAATTGTAATGCAAAACAATGCTACATTTGTTCAAGCACGAAATTAAATCCCCGTGAACCAATGTTTTTTTTTCCTCAAACCAAGGAAGTTTGAACACACGAAAATAAGTTGTCCAGTATTCAAAAACAAGTAAATATGTAGATATATATATTCTTTATATATATAGGAGATACTGAAAAAATAATTGTTACAATGAAGTTTCATTATTGATTTTCCAAAGAGATTTTAATGAATACCTTTGAATATGGTCGCAGCAGTACTGCAAAATTAGTCAGATGGTTGCATTCACAATAAAAATAAAGATGATCTGAAGATTGTAATTTGCATCCCTTCGTTGACCACTCACCATCTCTGTCACTGTGATAGAAATGTTACTTATTTTATAGGACATACTTTAATAGTTCATTGTTTAAAAAAAATGTTTATAATCAGCATTGACCTACTAGCTAGTATCAGAAAACAGTGGAATTTTTGGAATCTTCAATAAGAAATTAAAACAGACAAAAATATCCACTTTAATAATATTCAAGATATTAATTTGACAAATACAAAAATTAATTTTTTCACACTAAAAACTGTAACGCTGAAATTCTTTTTTTAACTTCCGCTACAATGATGCTAATTTAGGTATCATGGACTTATTTCTGAAAGTGCAAAGGTGGCATCAAATTACGATAAAAAGCATTAATCAGCAAGCAAAGGATTCAAGAAAATCAGTTTTGTTGTTATAACAAACAAATTCCTACCCTGGATGATGTATTGTTCAAAGTTTTAAAGAACTATACTTTAACAGATAGATACTAACTTGATTTGAAAATCCCAAAATACGCATTCACTGATGGAACTCTGAAAATCCTAAATCAAGGAGATAAAAAAAGTCAAAGTGGAATGAAATATTGCTTTTAATAAAAAATTGATGTTTCCTTAACTTAACATAATATGTGTTATAAATATGAGACTTACTTTATGTTTTAAGAATTTTAAATGCAGAGGAGGGTGTAATGTTCCTTCTAGTAAAGGATCATTAAGTGTTAATGACAAAATATCAGAAGAAATACTCCCTGCTGAATTTTCTTTATTTCTGAAAAGTGAAAAAATATAATTCCATAAAACAATTTGTCCCTCTGAAAACACTGGTTGTTTGCAAAAATCAATATGTCAGCTTATCTAGAAATTCTTACCTCTTGTTGTTGTTAATGATGTTTCCTATTGTTTTATATTTCACTGCAAGGTAAGGTATATCTATTGTTCGAAGAAATAAATGTGTGACCTTTTGATTTGAATTCCAAAAAAAAAAAAAAAAAAAAAAAAAAAAAAAAAAAAAAAAAAATGGAATGAATGATAAAGATAGTAAAGCAAAAATATTACTTTGATTAGAACCTTGAGTCTGTACTGGAAGCAATATCGATGAACCCAAAATGTTTTCATTTTCAGGAAAAGTTACGTTTCGATCTGCAGGAATTTTTGCAGCTGTAAAAACTAAAAGAATATAAATATCATTTTCATATTTCAAGCCTGAACAAGAAGACAAAATTAGAAAAGCGAATAAAAATAAATGCGGCTACTTTATTTAATATTCAGTACCTATATTATTTGTAGAGTTAAAAGTGATGCTTTTCTTGTTCTCGATGGTCTTTAAGACATACATGCCAAATTTGTCTACTGTTTTGAAAATCTTATTCACTCTTGCACTTGCCTGTGAAATGAATATAAAACTAATGAAGTCTAATATTACACAATGTAGTGGTGTTTCAAAAATCTATCAAATCCTCATTTAACATGATCAAATTAAATACAACCTCTTTTGTGGACGTGTTATTCCATGCGGCAGTATGATTTACTTCTAGAAGATTGTCAATTGTTGTCATAATCACCTGGAAAAACAAAATCATCTGTGAAAGATCTACCTTACAAATGAGTGAATGAATAAAAAATGATAAGTGAAATAAACATACCGTCCTTGGAAGTGAAACATTGGATGTCTGGGAGACATTCAATATTTTATCGAGCATGTCTATGGAGCTGTCTAAATCTTCTGGAGTTTGTTCTTTGTTTATTGAAATATCTTGTAATTTGAGTAGCGCATGATCAATCATTACCTCCATTTCTGTGTTTGATAAATTTCCCCGAAGAACGGAATCAACCTGGTTAAGAATTATTTTAAAATTTAAGCTGTCGTTAGACTTCTGTTTCTCTTAGTTGCATGATATTAACCGGTGAAAAATAAAAATAGGACATCCAATGTTTCGGATGAATATAATTTTGATCGGACGAGTTTAGATAAAATCATATATAACCACAGCCCTGGGAAATTCTATATATCATATGTTTCACACATACTACATGTAGTAGCTGGCACATTTTATATATGAATCCCTTTATTTAACTTCATCACTTTTTTCGCAAAACCAATCTTGACATAACAGATGTGGTTTATTAAACATCCAATGTGGGATATCCACTAAATAAAGAATTAAACTTGTGATAATATGGAAATCCCAGAGGATTGTTGTTGGATACGATTTTTATCCGACGAATTGTGGGTTTTATATCTCCGAGCCTTGGTGGGGATATTAAACATACATGAAGATGGATTATCATATCCACCACTAACCATGGGAGATTCTTTTATCACATATTTTATACAAAGCTAGGGCATATTTATTATCATTTCTTCATACCAAACCCCTTCATTTTACTTCAACAATTTCATCCAAAACCCATTGCCACGTTATAACTGTGGGATATATAAACAATATCATTAGACCGATATCCACTGTATAATGGATTAAATGTGATACCACAGTAATTAAGCAAACGGTTTTGCTACATAGGATTCAGCATCCCATACCATTTCCTTTACGTTTTCAATAATTGGCACACAATCCATCTGTAGGTTTCTAAGAGACATGTCGTCACAATATGGAGATGTACCTAAACAAGAAAACATCAATTAAAAACAAATATGATTACTCTTAGATAATATGTCGATGTATGATTTTGCTTGAAGGAAACACTGTCAGTTATTTCATTAAAGAAAACGCATGTACCTAACGGTTGTGTTATCTTTGTTCAGTATACACAAGTATTTAGATTATCAGCAAACTGAGAACATTCATGCAGATTAGGATTAGATTTAAGAATACAAGAAAATTAAATGACTGTCATTACCATTAGTGTTGACAAATGTCTCCTCTGGAAATGTTGTTGATTGTTCACTTGTGAGTGAGGAAATGGATACTGTGGTGAATAATGTCTTTGTTAACAAGTGCATTAATTTCCTCACATTATTCAAAACTGATGACCAATTTATATTCAAGCAGTACCAGTCATACTTTTAAAATATAGAACACAGCATAAAAAGAAGACAATCTTTGTATCTTTAATCTAAACCCTATACTTAATGACAATTCTAAAACATATTAAAAAGTCAATAAGATTAGATCCGGGGGTAAATTATGATTTTTTTTTTGCACTAAAAGCTATCACATTACTATAGAAAATATAGTTATCATATACATTACCATAGGATTTTACAGATGATTCTTCGTACAGTGTTTGAATACTGGTGTCTAATAAAGTTGATTCTGTCGTCAAAGAATTCACTTAAAAACAAAACAAAGGTAAAAAAGATCAGAAAGATAAAACTTAGACTCCCTTACTTATGTAGCAGTACATCCTTATCACCTGCATATGGAGTTTATATCTCCTAATTAATTAGATACACAAGAGCATGCTGTACGTACGAACAATTTCTAAAACGAGGCAAGCTATTGAAAAAAAAAAATGAAACAAAGATATCAACAGTCTCGTTTGAAATCATCATTTTGCAAGTTTTATGGTCAATACAATGACCTTGTCAGCAAATATAACCTATCATTAAGTCAAATACTGACGTTTTTCATTCTAATTGTTAGGCCATTATTAACACTCTGAATTGTCCACAGATTTCCCAGCTTTTTTTTCCTGATCATGACAAGGAGCACACGGTGGTTGTGACAGGTCGGCAGGGGATGCTCATTCCTCCATGACACCTGATCCCGCCTCTGAGGTTTTTAGAGGTCCGTAATTGCTCTGCTCCAAATTTGTATTGTTTCTATGGACTTTTGAGATTGACTACAGTTCGTTATCTTCATATTTTCTTTCTAGCTTGCATCTTACATAGTCTTTATTTTATTGGAAAAATTAGTAAGTTATATCATTGCTTATGGTATGTTGTTCTAAGAATATCTTTTTTTTCTTTTCGATTTTTGTGATTTAATAAGACCCCCACCCCAACTTAGCTTGGTGCTTTACCATCATCATAGCCTTTATTTTATTGAAAAAAATAGTAAGTTATATCATTGATTATGGTATGTTTTTCTAAGAATATCTTACTGTTCACGGTAGCTCAGTCGGTAGAGCGCTCGCTCCGTGATCGGGAGGTCGTGAGTTCGAATCTCGGCCGCGACAGACCTAAGTCGATAAAAAATAGGTAGCAACTGTTCCTTCGCCATGCGCTCGGCACTTTGAAGTGAAAATTGCGGGTCCTTCGGATGAGACCTTAAAAACCGAGGCCCCGGGTCACGGCAGGCGTTGGCACGATAAAGATCCCTCACTGCTCAATGGCCCTGAGTGCCGAGTAAAGGTCAAAATTTGAAGCCCTTCACCGGTATATGGTGACGTCTCTATATGAGTGAAAAATTCTCGAATGGGACGTAAAACAACATACAATCAATCAATCAATCTAAGAATATCTTTTTCTTTTCAATTTTTGTGATTTAATAAGACCCCCACCCCAACTTAGCTTGATGCTTTACCATCATCAAAGATTTAAGAATTAAAAAAAAAAAACAATAATATAAACCCAAACAAGTTTGTAAATTTATACTACAAGAAAGCTATTTCTGCATACTTATGTATACGTAACTTTTGCAAATTAAGAAAAAAATATTTTGTTTATTACAAGGAAAATATTAATTCTCTCATGATAACGATACCAACATGTACTTTGACAAACAAAACCACCAAGTACATCACAAGGGATGTCGTTCCAATAATGAATTCCATCAATCAACTTGAAGTGTAAGCAATTTTCTCTTCCTCCAGAATTATTCGGTTCACCTGCAGAAGAGGGACATACTTATTGTATCATATGATAACCATGGAGAATAAAAAGAAATGTTACGGTGGGCCCAAAGTCAGCGGGATCCTAAAGTGAGCGGCATAACTTCTGAGCTGGTGTATTTTGTTATATTGTGAGATCTGATTGTATCAATATATGTATTGTGTTTGTTAATTCAGTATGTAACTAAAAATATAAGGAAAAATGCGTTTGAGTTTTACAATATTTATATAACTATGAAAATGCCGTTATTTCTGCAAAGCGAATAAATTTTAAGTGAAAATTTTAAACGAAATAGAATGTGCTGGGGTAAAGTGACAAAAAAAAAAAAAAAACAGAAACCGGACAAAAGTTTAACATCCGTACATAAAAGGTAAATGCTTGTCATTTGTTGATCACTATACGACCATCAAAAGTAAAAATATTCCCAGGTAAAATATTCTATAAATATGCCCCTCTGTTTATTTTCATAATTTACATATCATTTGTATGTTCTGTGAATTATCAGTGTAGATACTTTTGTTTAGCATTATACCCCTGATAAGGGCTGTACTTTATCTTTTCGTACATGTCAAATATAAGAATGTCATTAATATTGGGAAAAATATATTATTATTTATTTTAGCAAAGTTTTGGTAATATTTTGATAACTGATAGGAACCTTTAAATAATACAGCATTCATTTTATTTTAATTGGTCTCATATAGAAGTTATTATTGATTGTTTATTAGCACCGAGATAGGTTCTTAGATTTTATTGGTTCTGATTCTAAATAATCTCATGTTGTAAAAAAAAAAATACCGTAAAATTTAAGTGGTCCATAATGTATACGGAGGAATATCTATCTATCAAAAGAGATAATACTAAAATTGATGTATTTAAATTTGATTCATAATTCTTTCTATTTAGATTTGCAATGTTTTTCTACTTAAAAAAACTTGGTTTCAATTCCATATTTGTATAAATTTGCACTTTTATGACTGCACTATGAGGCTATTTAGAGGGTCTACATATAATATTAAAATTTCGCATGTGAGTTGAGGCTAGGTATAAGTGTTTCTATGCAAATGAGCTAATAAAATACATAAGAGGTTTATTACATATAATTATTCAGAGAACATTTTGATTTATTATACCTCTGTGAATTTTTTCTATATAAAAATATGACGAATAAACATGCTATTTTCTCCAAACAGCCCCTACCGTGGAATAGTTTTTGTGCTATTTGCCCATGGTGAAATAGTCATTAAACTATTCACCGGCAGCATTCTGTTTCCCTCGCTTTTTATCTCGGAACTCTTCTGGTTTTATCCACATTGTGACGTAACACAAGTAAAGACTGCTTCGGTATAATAAAACACCTATTTACTGACTATTCGGACAATAGCAAGTTTATCGTCCCCCTCGACAGCAACTATTTCCCTCGGCTGCGCCTCGGGAAATAGTTGCTGTCTTGGGGAACGATAAACTTGCTATTGTCCTCATAGCCAGTAAATAGGTGTATATTATTTGTTTGTTTGTTTGTATGTTGTTTAACGTCCCTCTCGAGAATTTTTCACTCATATTGAGACGCCACCACTTGCCGGTGGAGAGCTGCAAATTTTGTCCTATACTCGGCACTTACGGCCATTGAGAAGTGCGGGATCTTTTTCGTGCGAGCACCTACTGCGACACGGGACCTCGGTTTATACGGTCTCATCCGAAGGACCGGTCTCCACGTCCCACAGTGGGATTCGAACCCGCGACGTAAGGATCAACTCCTTACTCCGCGACTCTAGAGCAGACGCTCTAACCACTCATTTTGATTTACTTATTCATACTTCTTATCCACGATGTGTTATAGCCAGTACATATTATGACGTCATATGATGACTTCATGTTCTTACCTACTGGCGATAATAAAACACAACAACAAAACAGCTTCGGCGCAAGGGATTACCCTATTTAATTTTACATGAAATTTATAATATGCTAAAAAGAATATCCTATAGATTAATAAAATTGCTGCTCAAATCCTAGACATTTTCTCATTTGATCAGAATTAGAGGAAACTTATGCCGAACTGTACATTTTTTACCCTGATTCAACTTAAAACTTTATTAATAGTAATTAAACAACAAAGCTCTTAATATTTGTGCAGCAATATCAGCAATCCTTGGAATATTTTGCTTCTAACTAAACCTTGTTTCAGTGAAATAAAATAGAGCATGTCCTTGCCAAGGAATTTTTGCTGATGTCCTTTTTAATCTTGTGTAGTAAAGAACAATGACGTCATAATATGACGTCATAATGTGTACTGGCTATCTCACGTCGTGGGTACCAAGTAAGTATTAGACAAGAAGTTTTAACTTTCTCTGTATATTAGATATAGTCCTTAGGCATTTTAATTAGTTTATTTGCATAGAAATGTCTATACCTAGCCTTAACTCACTTGTGTTGTCCAAAAATGTTAGAATTGGAAGTGATGCAATTATAAATGGTTGTAAAATTGTATCATATCATTGCTATTTATTATTATTAGATGTAGTTGATACAAAATTTGAATGCCGATAATGAACTATTAAAGATTCGAAAAATCGATTGCATATATTATGAAACATGCTCATCTATTTTAGGTAGGTCTTCAATAGTAGTACTGTATTGAAAACATTTAGTTATCATTAATAGATTTGTTGTAATAGTAAGCCTTTTAAGTGATATTGCATTAGTAGCAGTGACGTGTATATACTTCATTCCACGCCCATTAACTTAAAAGTATATAAATAAATAGATTTTCAAAGTAAATTGCTTTGATTTTGTGCTTAGATCAGCCAGTCAAATATTTTATAGTAGAGAACATGTGATAAAAGAAGGGAGGAACCTGTCAATATGTGATTTATTATTATATATTTGTTTGGCCTTTCTAATTCCACAAGATAATATTCTAATGGTTCAAAAATATGCCAAGTATGTCTTAAATTTTGTTTCCTGCTTCACAAAAAATACGGAAAATATTGCAATCTTCTTATAAAATTTCCTTTTTATTATCCACTGTCCACATGTCAAAATACTTATTTTAATATTGTAAAAGATTAAGATAACGAACAGTTATCAATCAATCAATCAATCAAAAAAAAAAAAAAAAAAAAAAAAAAAAAAAAAATTACAAACAATACAAGTCTGTGAACAGGGCATAGAACACGAATTCGAGCATTTTTGTTGACAGTGTATGAGCTTTCTCAGTTACATCTTTGAAAGTTGATACATTCTGTTCATAATGGTAAGTTGATTAGTAGAAGGCAGCAAATTGTTGATATATGAAACTGTCCTTGTCTGAGTATGACAAAATTTAATTACAGTAAACTTCTTTTATAACGTACTCGGTTATAAAGTATCTCCGGTTGTAAAGAAGCTATTCCTTAGTCTCGGCAAAGTGTCTATATATTTCACTGGAAAAAACACCGCTTACAACGTATTTGTATATAACGTAGTATCGCTTATAAACTATAAGAAGTTTGGTCCCGTTACATAATTACACCTCTTATAACGTATTCTATCACCCGGTTTCACACCTTTTCTATCAGCTCAGTGACTGCGGATTAGTCGCGGTTCGTTGACTCCATAGCTTCTCTGTAATGAGTGTTTTTTTAACGAGGTTTCTTTGTTGTTTCAGGTAGATGTATTTATAATAAATTGTTTGAATAAAGTTCATCGAGTAGATATACTCATAATACATGATAATAAATTGTTTGAATAAAAATTAATCTTTGAGTCAGGTAATAGCAATATAACCGAAAATGATATAATTAAACTAGTGAAAGAAAAATACATTGATTCAATATCAGTAGACTGCGACGACAGCGAGGACGACGAGGCCGTGCCTGACACGTGCATACCATCCACCTACCCAGACGATCTAAATGTTGTCAGACCAAACAGACAAACAATACGGACTTTTTTAAAATGATCTCACGATCAAAAATATTATTTGAAATAATTTATTTATATAAAATATTATTGAATATTAATCTTTCTTAATAGAAGAAATGAAACCAAATAACCTGTAAATCATTTATTTACATACTCTACATACTTTAAAATATTATTAACACACTAGCGGTTTGAAAGGTGTTTACGGTAAAGGTGTACTGAATATACTTCCGGTCTCCGTTTATAACGTACACCGGATATAACGTAGGATTTATTACAGTCCCTTGAGATACGTTATAAAAGATGTTTACTGTATCAATATTTCGAAGATAATATACTGTATACGTTATCCGCGATTCGTCAGTTGAAATAAGTCTGCCACGATTAATTTTTGCGACTGAGGAAACATTCTCTACAAATACAAAGCAAAATAAGTGGTTCGCGGCTATATATATTCGCGAGTTCAAGTAAGTCGCGAAGCTCATAGATATTTCTCGCACGCAAAAAAAAGTTGATTTACAGTACATGTTTTGGTGGCATAAAGGGTAGGGCCATTTCTTGTAGTTATTTTATAGGAAAATGGCTTTCTCTTCTCCTATTTGATGATCCTCAGTCCAACTTTAAATACTTCAAAGGCTTGTTATTATTCTGGCTGCTTCTACTTGTATGTTTTCAAAAATCCCAGATAATGCCACCATATTATAGAAACGGTCGAACAACGACAAACTAAATTTTCATTTATGCACTTCTATCTAAGAAATGTTTCAACATTCTTAAAAGATTCAATCGAGAAGAAGCATTTTCATATATTTTATTTATATGAGATGACCATTTTTGGAAAAGAAGCTCAAGGTGAAAGTGTGTTTTAGATTCATTTAAACGCTACCATTAAAGCCAAAGTAGGCCGGGGGATAGTCATGTGAACTTCTTGAAAAGTTAAATTACAGGTTTGCTTGAACTGAAGTCCCCAGAATGATTGAAACCCATTTATTAATTCTATCTAGATACGATGTTAGGGAGATGGCTGCTGCATTGGTGTATCATCAGTTAACGTCATTGTATTGTTAAAAAATTGTGTTATAACATCAATATACAGTAGGAGTAGTAAGAAACGTAAAACAGAGCCTTGTTTTACACCTACAGATATTGGTTTGAAATCAATATTCGATTTTTTCAGAGGCCTTTGGAATATTGAAGTAAATAAATCATACATCTATGTATTTGTCTTCATTAAATTAAATTCGTCCGTCAGCTGGTTGATAGTCTAATTATTTGGTTGAAATCCACTCTTGTATTAAATTGGATATTATTTTCTAATTTATAAAATTGTATGAATATTCAAAATTATTTTTTCAACAATCATGCAGATTGTACTAGTCAGTGATATTGGTTTATAATTATTGACTAAATCAAGAAACATTTTCCCTTCATTAACATTTGCCTGTTTCCACATGTTTGTTAACCTTTCAATTCGTGATTTATTAAAATTTTGACAATGCACAATAAAGTATTATTCATCGCGTATTATATTTTCAGCAAATGGTCTCTTTGTGGTATTTGATCTTTTGCATTGAATTGTGAAAAAAAATTACCAGACCCTACAACAGTGAATGTCATTATATTTTGAGATGGTCTCTAAAAATACCAAGACGGTAGATTTTCCTGAAACTTATAATATACACTGAAGTAGTTTTTATACAAAACAAACCCTTTAGCATTGTCACTTGTTACATGAAAATAATATTCTCTTCATCGAAGGAAAATAAATGAAATGGGAAAGAATGGTGTTTTATAAGGCATACATCTATAGTTTGATCAGTAAATCCATGCATATATATACTTTTAAAAAAATATGTCAAAAATTACAGTAAGCTTAAAAATTGAACTCCTTATAGTCTTGAACAGATATATTAAAATCCTTTACATTATTTATATTTGCTGAATTTGCTGGAATAGTCATATTTAAAAAATGTCAGCAGAAGCACTAGTCTATGACTTGCTTGGAAAACATAGATAGATCCATGCATTAAAAGCTTATCAAAATTATCTTTTTAAAGTGACAACAATTAAGAAATAAGGTATCATTTTAAGATTTTTATCGGGATGTAAATACAGGTTGGTCATGTGATCCAATCCCCTATAGTAGAATTGATCCCGCTCCAATCCGTATTTATAACCCCGATAAAAGTTTTGGAATGATATCTTATTACTTGTATTTACATTTATAACTGGTTTTTAACAAATATTTTGGTTCTATTGTTTTAAAACCATGAAATGATTTATTTTCAAACCTCAACGGTTTATATTAAATGTGTTGATCACTTATGACGTCACTATAAAATTACTGCAATCGTTTATGACTAAACAATGAATTTATATTATGGTAAGGCGACGAACCTGTTTAAACA